CAATCCAAAGATTGGAGCAAGGCTCAGACAAAAGAGGAATTGTTTGTTGTTTGTTTTGATGCACCAAGTAAACATAAAAAAGAGGAAATAATCGAGGAAGAATGAACCTTTTCCCATCTATTTTCAAATAAGTATTACATATCCGAATATTTTATACAGAAAATGTTAACTATTTCAATTAAAACAAGTAGAACTATTACAAATTAAAATATTTGCTGAAACAATTTAATCTTTTTCAGGTTTTTTGTTCACAAATCCAGAGTGAGTGTGCATTGAGAGATGCAGCTTAGTTTGCAGCTTTATTTGCCGTTAAGTCCTCCTCCCTTCTGTCCTCGTTATTTGTGCTGAGAAGCCCAGAAATCATCATCACAAAGTGGCACATGCCCTTTGTCCATCAGCAATTGATGTGGGCAATGGAGGAAACATTTTGGAGGAGCGGGTGTGTGAAGTTTGCCAACATCAATCTTGTTTCAAATTGAACCGCAAAGTTACAGCTGAATGGATTGGCTTTCAAATGCAGGAGGCCATGGCTACACGGGATTCAATCCCAGAGTGAATCTGATTTGATCCCGTGAGCCATACAAAGGCACAACCCACTGATTGATAAAGCGAAGTGAGGGGAGATGAGTGAAAGGAGTAAAAAGAGACCCAAGTCAATGTGGGAGGGTGGAGCGACGGAGAGGCTGGTGCACGCAGAAAAGGAAGAAAATAGATGAGAAAGCAAAAAAAAAAAGAAAAAAGGAGAAGAAATGTGTGAATGGAGAATAAAATAACACTTAGCAAGACCAGGTAGTTCTACAGAGCCCATTTAATGGCTTCCACACAAATTGTAAAGATGTGAAAAAGCGTGGCACTGACAGAGGGAAAATGGAGATGTCTGTCTACGATAACAGATTTTTTTTTATCTCTGTGTGTGGCCGATAACAATTTTATGATCACAAAGCACAGAGTCGCACTGGAGGTACGTCTAACCTTGACATCAGCTGCTGAGGCGTTCCTTCAACAATTTTTTTAAGTTTCACAAATATTTTTTGCTCACAGAAAAATGGCTTTTTTGTCAGTTACCATAGAGAAATTAAATGAAGCATTTTGTGCTTAAACAAGTCAAATGTCACAAACAAAAGTTAAATAAGTTTACAATTAAAAATAATACACTTACTTTAGATTTCCAGGGAAATATGAAATTTCTCCATAGCTCTGATTGGGTTTTTTTGTCCAATAAATATTCAGAAAATTACTCATATATGAGAAAAACCCATTCCATTACATAATTATTTACATATTCAATTCTTTTCTGGTATTTCCTCACATGAGGTTTGGTACATATGAATAAATGTAATTAATGATATTTTGCTAGATAATTGTTTTACTGTGTTTTGTTTAAGTAAAATGCAATAGACTTGGAACTTACTTGAAGAACATGCATCATTGTTATATTTATATTAACTGTACTATATTTTCCACCTGTGTTTAAATTTTTCCTTAATGCATAAAATCATATTGAATCTGAATTACTTTAACTTATTGAACCTCTGAATTTTGGGCAATGTAGGACATTTCTATTTCCATTCTATGCTCGTCTTTTATTGGAATTTTCTGTTATTGACCAGAAAAGTTGTGTAAAAAAAAAAAAAAAGAGGGTGTGAAAACTTTTGCAAGTCCAGTGTGTGTAAGATGGACTTGCATTAATCTCAATATTTTTTGGGAGCTGAGATCCTAAATCTTAGAGATGTGAGAAAATTGTGGTGATGGAAAAGAGAGGGTAAAGTTGTGTAGCATTTATTTTAACAAATACAGCTAGATGTATAAATTGTACATTTCTTAATATTTCAGTGTCAAATATTTTAGACAGGTGGCCTGGACACTCAAAATCACGAGTCCATGCGCACACATCTCAGGAAGCTTAACAGCAAACTGGATTGTTCTGCATTTATTTACAAATTTTATGAGTCTAGAAAAGTCCAAACAAGCCACTGAAGGAGACACTAGGAAAACAACCAACAAACAAGCGTAAGTGCCAATAACGGGCACTGCTTATTGTTGTTCTGCCAGCTTTTACAGCATTTTCCCACAGAATTATCATCATGATTATACCAAGCACATGTAGCCTGGGTATCAAAATAAAATGTTAAAGTTATTGATAGCTAGAGAGCGTCATCCATCACATTAAAACCATCGATTTCTGTTTGTCAGCCCGCTCGACTCGGCTACCCGAACATCTTAAAGTAGCATTGGCAGCATATTTCCACAGCATCGGCGTCCCAAAAACGGACACGCTAAAAGAAATGAATAAGTGTGCCACTCCTAGAAGACTGAAGCAAAGCCCGAAATCCCTCTTGATTATCATTTCTTTTCTTGGTAAAACTCATTAAACAGCAAGACCTATAAAAGCAGCAGGGGAGATGACAGTCTTGCATTCTCAGTTGTTTTAGAGGCTTCTGAGCGCAATAAGCGTCTGAAAATTGGGGGCTGTTAAAGCGATTCTTTTTTTTTTATTAGTTTCTGTCACTGCCAAAATGTTGCTTTTCTACAATGCCAGTAACAAGCACGAATCCCAAGGAGGGCGGAGATAACAGAAGCTTTTTTGCTGCATTTTCTCAGGGCAGCTCTGTAGGGAAGGCATTTACACCTGCTTGCCTCATCTTTCACAATACACTAGGCCCCCAAAGTGTGCTTTACTTATAAATATCCACATCTTGTGGCAAAGATGGAACCATAAAAAGCAAAAGAATAGCTAACAAGTCATGTATGGGTGTGTGTATGTGTGTCTTTTAAAAAAGGACAAATATCTCAGACAAATGGAGTCAGTTTACACCTGTGATTCGAAGTTAAATCAGTGGAAAGGCTTCATGATGTGTCGTTATTATGAAACTAAATCCTCAGGAGGAAATTCTGAAGAGCTTGGTCTTACCAGTTAAATGCCAAAACAAATGTTTACCTTCACCAGCTTCAATTCAGAGTTAAAGAAAGACTCCATACAAATAGTTATGATAACTACCCAGGAGATTTGTTGACAAAAGCAACCATGAATTCAATGCACTTGACAATTCAGCATGAATCATGAAACGCACAAGAGGAAAACAAATGAACTACTCCCTCATTTTAGGTAAACCCATCTTAGCAGGCTTTCGGAGCGGTACCATCTACATCAAAGCCCGTCTCGCTGACTTTCAACTCTACCACTCCACTGACGGGGTGATGAGGAGGGAGGGTGTCGGGGTGTTCAAACATTAAACAGCATTTTTCATTCATGAGAAAATCATGCTCTGTTTCAACAATAGAGGGAAAAAGGGCTGATTCAGTCAAGTCGCTGCAGGGGTAATTGATAGGGATCCAGCGGAGGTAACTCCCAGGGGAAATGCTGGATCATGAATTCCTACCATGCCAGCGGGAACACGGACGATCTATTGAGGTTCTTTTTTTTTCTTTTTTTTTTTTCCACAAACCCCTGTGGGCAAGAAAGTGAAGTTAATAAAGAATATAAAAGGGCATCTGAAGCTTAAGTACAGCCATGTGTTGCAGAACTACAAATATTTCACTGGCTTTTGAATTCAGAGTCAATCTGAAAAATGTATCTCAGAAGTAGGGTAAATACCTGAAACACAACCTCAGTAAATACAAAATGTAATTTTTAAATAATAAGTTCATTTTGGGGGGAAAGGTACCCAAACCACAATATTCATTAAGGTACGTTTGTCATCAGGCAGATTCCGATCTCATTCCAGACTCACAGAAGTCAATCAGAACCTGACGACAACATGAAATAACCTGAATAAGAGATTAAGAACAACTAATATCTGTGATGTTGAGTTAATGTGTCTATTTATTCAATAATTTAGAGGCAAAAAATGTTTTTTTTGAACTGAAAATGTTTTAATTGAACCCCACGACTAATATCCATATCTGCAAAGAGAAAGACAGATAGATGCATAAACATCTCACCAATATCTTTTTGTGTGTTTTTATGAAGAGTATAAAATGTATGACTGCCAAGCCCTGTCCTTGTTCCCACTTCATTAGGCATTGCAACAACTGTTCTTTCCGAGCCACATCTTCTTTCCATCTGTATCACTCTGGAAAATCACCTTGCGGCAGCCCAGGGAAAATTGCTGTTCATTTCACAGTAGCAAAAAAAAGGAAATGAGACTAGTTTGTGGACCTGGAGGCTGTGAAAGAGGCAGAGCAAGAAACTGCTGGCAAGCTGACTGGTGTCCAAACAAACGCTGGGTGATAAGAAAAAACTTGCAGGATTCTGTATAGTTATGTCCACACACACTGACAGAGCTCAGATTTGACTCTTCTGCGCTTGACAGGGTTGACTTTTCCCCTCCCACTGCTGCTAGAATTAGAGGGGTGTACATACTGTCAAAGCAGTGGAAAACAATCAAATTGTCATGGGGGGATACATCAAGTGCTCTCAAACACCCTCTTCCACTATAAAAAACAAAGAAAAGCTCAGCACTGCAACTCTTATCCATAAGCAAGTTGGGTTCCTCGTTGTGTATCTGAGAAACAAACTGGCTGCGACAAGTAAACTCCCAGAGCTTCCTTCAAAGCCTCACATCCATCCTGATAGAAGATTGGCTTACTGGGCTGGAAAAGGCAAGAAGCAAACCAAGCATAGCTGCCACGTGTAAAAGTTCAAGATTGTGCTCAAAACAAAAGCACAATTGCTTTTGTTTTGGGGGGGAAAAAACAAAAACAAATCTGCAACAGCTCAATGGACACAAAAATCAAATGCTGTGTGAAGCTCAGTGACGATTTATGCTTTCTTTTAAGGAAAAGCAGGCTAAATGGGATGTCTGACACAAACAAAAACATTTAAACTCAGAGCAGCCAGTGATTATATAAAAAATATAAGCTTTGCTTTAGGTTAATTATCATCTAAGTGGGAAAAAATGTGTTGCCACAAGATCAAAGTATCCATCGCCTTTGAGGCCAAACGAAGCATGCGTGAGGAGATTAATTAAGGTGTGGTGGAGAGAGATGACACCTCTTACCTTTACTCTGTGAGGAGAAGCACAGGGAGAGCTGAGCAAATAGGTCAGGGTTTTCAAACTTCTCTTCTTTGACTTTGATCCAGAAGCAATTCTCTGCCATTTCCTGAGGCACTATCTGCAATGACACAAGGATTCCATTATCGCCACAATCAGAAACCGTCATTCCATCAAGCCGCCACTCAAACTTCTTCTAGCTGGAAGATAGAAGAGGTTTTGTGAGTCTTTTCCTGTGTGTGGATACACGCATGACCTTGGGTGGCATACTGAGCATCTGAGTGGCAAACGGGACTTACAAAGGAAAAAGTAAACATGAAAATGTGAGGCTTGAAATTGTGAATTATTTGACTATGGTGAAGATAACAATCTTTCAACACTGTCGGGGCGACAGACATGAAAGCTTCTCATTTTTTCATCAGAGACTTGGATGAGAGAAAAAGCTCTAAAAGTAACCAACCACACAGAGACAATACTTCATCAGTAGAGTGGACCCCTGGTATTTATGGGGCTTAGGGACCACAGGGGTGTACATACTGCAAGCAGCTAAAACTCACAAATACTTCAGATCCTCTCTAAAAAGGCTTAGAAATTCATATTCTAGCATCCACAGTCCTCCTTATTTTTGATGTTGGGGGTACAGCCAGTTGTTACAAAAGCAAATTTATTGTACTTCTGGATTTGCTTCCTTGCAAACAGCAACCAATAGCATGTTTAAGGAGATTTATTATTTGTCATTTAAACTGCAAAGAGCAATCCAGGTTATTTCTGGGGTATTTTCTACCATTTAATACCATTACAAACAAACTCAATGCAGTTCAAAATTTTTCACGTTCAGAATGTGTGTTATGCATGGTGAGAAATGAAGTTCTATTCATTAAAGACAGGCAATTGTTAATCTTTAAAAGAGCATGAATTGTGTTCAAGGGACACTGAAAGAGAACCTTATTAATACATGACCAGAAAAAAATGTTGATCTGATTCAATTTTGTGTAAATTTTTTAAATGCTCCTAAAAAAATGACATTACTAAAATTTAGGGGTTTATAATTTCTGAAAATTATTACATGGTTGACAAGTCTGGTGGAAACTGACGTTAATAATGACATTCATAAAAAGAAATTGAACTGTTTGATTCATACTATTCCTAATGCAAACTTTGAGAGAGCATTTTTTTGTTTCCAAGTGACTGAGGTTGAGAACAAATTGAAGGGCCCTTCAAGGGCAAAAGATAAATACCCCCAGTAAGTTACAGTTATTGCTACCTAATAATACATGTGACACTACTTTACTACACATTCTGTTGAGAGCTCCAGAAGTCTTTCCTTATGTAGCTTTTTATTGTGGCCCCATCCTTGCATTTCACTTATTGCACTGCCACCACCACCATCATCATCAAACCAGAGTAATTATGTAAAGAAAGAGTTGTAAAAACAGCACTTACACAACACAGAGAGTTGCAGCTGGTACTCAACAATCGTCCTCAAGGCTGCATAGTAATGGTGATTAATGCAAACGTGTTTGAGAGTCGCTGGCTGCGTTAATGGAGGTTTATGAAACTTCCAACACAGGCTTGAGTTCAGTGAAGCATAGATAAAGGACAACTGCACTCTGTTACTGAACGCTATGGAGGAAAAATGATCAAAAGGAGCAGCTGAAACTTCCTTCCATCCTTGGAGAGTCAGAGGTGGGCGGGTGCCTAGCTTCCGGGTAAACTCAGGTCACATTACAAATGATCATGCATGCACAGTCACCCTGTTTAGTCCACTTTAACCAAACTCTAGTTTGTTTGATTGGAAAGTTTGGTTAATTTGGGGAGCTGTGAATCCGCAAACTCTGATGCAGACTCAACCAAAGTCACGGTTCAGTTGAATGACCTTTTTTGCGGTTTGAATGCATGCATGAATGCCAAGTAGACTTGAGTCCCCTCCCAAATCAGAAAGCGAACTAAAGCAAAGGCCACTTGTATGAAAAACAACATTCTCCCTGAACTGCCTCATCTTCCAGTGTTTATTAGGAACATGTACCAAAGACAAAACTTACACCCACTAAAATCTGAAGCCACTCCACTTTTTTTTTTATTTTTTTACATTTCTTGAATGTAAAAATAAAAGTTGCACTCAGTGTCTTGGGAGTCTCTGGCTCTTGTTACAGCACCATCACATACAAGGGAGGAAACAGGTTGCTCAAACTGTTTGGTTTATTTGACAGTGCAATGTGAAAGCAAACTGCAGTAACTAAAATGTAACAAATGTTGCGATGCTCGTCTCCAATCGAACCAAGTGCACTGGACTATCAGGTGTGAAACCAGCCTTAGCAGTCGTGTTTATGGACTGTGCTAAGAAGCTGGAGCACCCAGAGAGCACCTACACATGCAAACATAAAAGCCCAAAAGGCCTAACCTCTCACTCACTGCTCAACTAAAACTTGAAAACTTGAAGGAACAAACTAGCAGGGACTCGTCTCAAACAGGGTAGGCATCCAATCCCATTATCACTGCCTAATTAAGAAAACTTTAAAGGTAAATCAATATTCACCATATGACAAAAATCATTATGAAGGGCTCCCTGCATGATCTCAGATGGGATTTTTCAGAGTAGAGTTTGCAGATTTTCCCTCACAGTGACTTTTCTTTGGGCAGTCCCACTGTCCAGACAGGGTGCATGTTAGGTTAATTGGTAATTCCATCTAAACTGACTCTCAGAGTCAGTGTGTGTGGGAGAGAGTTTGGCTCTTTTTCTCAAGAGCTTCCCAGTTGGCCCTTTGATAGACTTGCAACCTGTCCAGGGTGTGCTCCGCCTCTCACCAGATGATACCAGGAAAAGCTCCAATCCCCTGTAGCCCTGAAGGGGATGAAGTGGGTGTGGAAAATAAATGAATATTATTGCTGTGACTGCTGCTCCCACAGCCGCTTTTACTGCCACTACTGCAACCAATAACATTAACAATAATGCTGTCTTATTTAGAAAAATGTGACTCTACTAAAGCAGAAAGAACATTTTGTACTAAAATTGTAATTGAAGAGACCTCAGTGTAAATAACTCAATTGATGTGAGGAAGCGGTAAGACCTGGCAACACGTTTTAGTGACGATTTCTACATTGTATCGAGGCATATTTTACAACTAGAAAACCAGAAAACGTTTTAAGTGTAAAACATAAATTACAACAAGACATCAATTGCTTTTAAGAACACATAATTAAAAAGAACACTTTTCTAACACAAAGGAGCCAGTTGTCTCCTAGAAGACAGAGCATTTCTAGATAGAAAAGCTGGCCTGGTGTCTGGTAAGGCTTCACCTAAAAGTTAGTCACTGTCAGTGACAGAAAACTGACCTTTTTTTGGATAAATAAATTTCTACCAACAACATATTGGCAAGATGTGTGCCTACTTATTGAAAAAAGTAAGAAAATACTTTCCTTCTAGTGATTTGCACTTTTCAAGTGACCTCTGTCAGTACAATTGTAAGTGGATAACCACAGATCAAATTTAATCAGCCACTACTTTCTCTAAATATCCCTTCAGTTTGACAAATAGCTTTAGTGGCAACATGTTTTTTTTGTGTCTGAGCTAAATGAAGGAGAGAACACCAGATTGTAGCTACCATTTGGAAAGTTAAATGTGACTTTTTGTTGGCAGTGACATATTATTAATAGAAAAGAAAACAATGCTAACTTGTAGCTTTTAGTCAACAATTGTGTTATGTACTGACATCCAAATTTTCATTTCAAAGATAATTTAGGACAAGTTTGTCCTAAGAGCAAATCTCCCAGTATTCTCGTTTGCCTTGTGGTTTCTGTTTCCAATGTTTTTCTTTACATTTCCTACTCTTGTGCAGGAACACTTACAGAATAGACGACTTCAAAACCATGACACGAAAGAGAAGAATATATAACCTTGTAAAGATTTTAGTGTTTACATTTTGTATTCTCAAAATGTAAAATGTGCATCCATTTTTTTTTCAATCTTCATCAAAAAAACAATATTTCTATTTATTGCTATATGCCTAGACAGCTAAATATAATGAGGTTTTAGATTTTTATTAATAAAGGCTTTTACTTCTGCTTCTTTTCCAATCCAAAGTGTTTTATGTTGTTCTATCACATAAAATGACATGGCAAAACATGAATAATTAAGTGTAGTATAAATACTTTTGAACCAGTACTGCAGTTTCACAAAGTAAACAAGCCATCTAAAAATTTGCTTTGCAGTTTCTTCTGGTTATTTTTGGCTCTTAATATTTGACATTGGTCTTTTTCTGTCTAGTAATTTTGTTAATATTTTGCTGTTGAACTCTTGGTCTACTAAGTGGCTGTGGGATTTTCCTGCAGAGCCTGAGCAGAATAAAGATAGCCTCTGTGTGTTTAAGGGGAGGCATTTATTACAACTTGGGCTAATGAGCCGATGTCGAGCTTAAATATGAGCCTGTTTCATGGCACTTTGTGCAGCTGTGGTTATTTTCTTCCTCCCAGTGTATTCATGTTTCCTTTGTAATTGTCATATGTTCATAGATATTTGTAATCAAGACCTTAATATTATGGTAGAATCTAATATTATAAATGGTAATAGGCTAAAATTATTTAGCTTAAATGGAAGCTAGAGAATAATTTATTTTTTTTATTTTATTTTTTTTTACAATGGCCTTCACTTAATATTAATTTTCTCCGGGACTAATACACGAAAAAGAACATAAAAGAACAGCAATTAAAAGCTGACATTTCTCTGAGTTAGACCTGTCCCATGTGCATGTGTTGTAGCATTGCTTTTGGCTAATAATGCACAGCCGCTGCAACCTGCTGCTCAACAGGAAATGGCTACTGCAAATTGAAGTGTAGTGAGCAGCTCTATGATACAAATGAAGCATGAATACATAGGGATTGCTACAATAGAGTTAGTGAGAAAGCTATCGACGATTCATTTTCTGGCACAGGCCACAATATTACTAATTGAAAATTGATATTACCTCAAATATTTCATTTTCACTTTCAGACAAAATTATTCTTTGTATTACACCAGATTCACCTGGAGCATTTATTGCCCAAAATCTTATCCTTTTGACTAAATGCACATTAACTTAAATACAATTTGTTTACATTTGTCATGGTAAGAAAGGAGTACTTCCCATGTGCATACAGGTATCATCTAGTGATTGCTATGCTTTGTTGCCAGAAAGAGGTTGCTCTTTGCTATCATCATTTGTGGAAGTTTTCCTCTCATGCCAAGCTACTCCAGTAGATAAATACATTATGCAAGTGGCCTTTGCTTTAGTTCGCTTTCTGATTTGGGAGGGGACTCAAGTCTTCTTGGCATTCATGCATGCACTCAAACCGCAAAAAAGGTCATTCAACTGAACCGTGACTTTGGTTGAGTCTGCATCAGAGTGTGCGGATTCACAGCTCCCCAAATTAACCAAACTTTCCAATCAAACAAACTAGAGTTTGGTTAAAGTGGACTAAACAGGGTGACTGTGCATGCATGATCATTTGTAATGTGACCTGAGGTTACCCGCTAGGCACCCGCCCACCTCTGACTCTCCAAGGATGGAAGGAAGTTTCAGCTGCTCCTTTTGATCATTTGGCACTAAGATAAACATAGAACCTTATCCAGGCTCACATGTGATTTTAATTGTTCTTTTAAACGTCTTTTCAACATCTGTAGCAGTGCTAAGAGTTGTGCATCATCTGCTTTAAAAACATGTTAATGTGAAACATAAAGTTGAATTAGCACACTTCTTTTTGTTGAGTATTTGAACCGTGCTGATTTTGGACACGTATATGGGAGGAAAACATAGTGGATCTATAAAAATGTTTTGTTATTCTACTCTCTTTTATACAGCTGAACAGTAGTCAAGCCTGGCATTTGTGTACTTCCATCTGCTCCATATAGAGGAGACAGATGACTGATGTTCCACTTCACTGACACAAGAGAAGCAGATTGTTTTTCTTCAGGTGGTTATGAATTTAATTTGCATCATGAAACCAAATTCCCTGCTGAGGCAAGGTTAATCCTCTTCCACTTTAACCTGTTTACGTACACTCCTGCAGACACTGGTCATTTGTCCTCTTGTACATGCACACAAATCATGTATGCAAAACCACATCAACCCATAAAAATGAGCAATGATACCGATGATACCAGATCAAGGTGCAAACAAACACATTCACCCTGGGAATTGGTAGTCAGAAATTGCATTGTTGTTTCCCCTGTTTTGTAAAACAGAGAAAGGATGAGCTCAGGGAAACTAACAACTCGGGAAATAAGTAGTATTATCAGACTGTACATACAGAAGCCATGAGAAAGACTTAAATTCAGTTACAACTGACCTGATTTTCCCTCCTTTTGTGTCATTTAGAACAAGGTTGCTTTGATATAACATTTCACCAGAAATTGGCCAGATTTCTCAGCACTGCTTAGGCGGAATTGATTTTATTCACACTTGACAGTAAGGAAATATAAGAACACTGGTTCTGTGGGAATCTGTACAAGTTGGCATAAAAGGTCAATGTAGCAGGTATTAGATGTGCCATCAAAGGATTCATCTTTGGTTTGATTGTTACTCTCCAAACTCTGACCAATTCAGTCATAATTTTTTCAAGTCGGCTGTCTACAGATTGTACTCATGTTTTTTCAAGACATCTTCAAATATATTTTCTGGGTTATTTAAAACAATGTTTAACCTCGACTAACCTGGTCAGAAAATAAAAAAATGCGCGTATATTTTCAGTCGGAGAATGCCACATTATAGAAGTTTCCAAATAAACATCACCAGGGAAGAAAAAGATCATAAATATAAAGCTGCATTCACACAGCAATTAATTTTCCACTTTCTCGTGGCAGTCCAAATCCAATCGATTCATCCAAAGAAAAGAATCATTCAGGACAAGAGTATATAAAATTGATTTCTAAAATGGACCAATAGCAGCATAATGTTTAAAATAGCTCACTTTTCTAGCTGCCAAAACAAACCAAGTCTGGTGAAGAGAACTAATGTTACTTTCCTTTCTTTTAGAGTTAAAGACTTAATTTCGCAAATGAAGCATCTTTTTTGCTCTTTGTTTGCCTGAAGAAGTTCTGAAAGACTGAGATCTTCACATCCACTCCTGCCTGTGATCTTTTTGAAACTGTCAATTTATTTTAAGTTTAGAAAAACGCAGCACTTAAGATCAGCGATTGCTCGTAAGCGACACTGGGGTCAGCTTGCGAGCTGACCTTTTGTCGGAGAACATCAGATTACTTAAAGTTTAATTATTTTGCTATATGATGTAAAAAGAAAGAAGAGTTTTATCCATCAGGACTACAAACACACAAATGAAAATGGCTTTCCTCTAGACCTTGATCATTTTCTGAATAAATCTGCATAAGATACGCAGTGAATCTACAAAAACACATTAAAATACATAAAAGAAGACCTGAATCCACTAAAACCACCAGACATAATTTGCACTATGAGCATGACTACAGAAGAACAAACACGACATTTTGTTTGCAGTGTGTAACTAAAGAGAGGAGCACAAAGATGCACAAGTGGTGTGAAAAACCATCAAATTGACTCTAAAATTTAGTGAGACGATGGATAAAACATTCATAAAATACAACCCAGGTTGAAGAGAATGTATCATTGAAATTGTTTTTAAATGTGATGGAACATTACACAACACATTCTTTCTCCAAAATCTGCTAAGATGGTGCAAAGCCAATGGCATCTGAGCAATAAAAATTGTTTACCATCAAATCCTTTGAAATAGGTGTTGTGAGAGGAAGAGGGTGGCATGTGGCAGAACGGCAGTTTGAATAGATTAAAGCTGCATTTTTGCAAATCTCCTTCTGGTTTAGAATTAACATTATACTGTGGAGGCCTAAAAGATCAAAAACTTACTAAAAAATTTGCAAATTGACGGTCTGTGTGCAGATTGCACAGATTTCCTTTGTAAAGAGAGAAGTAATATTTGCCTTACAGCCTTAAATCAGAGAGAGTAAACAGGTCTGCATGAGATCAATGCACATATTAACCATACCTTGGACCAGTTGACCCTCTTCATCACAGTTTCAGGCTTGTAAATCTTCTTTGGCTCCAGTCCATAAGGCAGCTTGACAACGGGTAACCCAGGAGGAGGAGGAGGACCACCCAAGCCCCCAAACGGAGGAGGAGGTGGGACCCCACAACCTGGGGGCGGTGGGGGTGGTGGAGGACCTCCCCCTGGGGGTGGAGGTGGTGGTGGAGGGGGGATAGATGCGTGGCCAGGCAGAGGAGGAGGCGGAGGGGGTGGACATCCACCAGGTGGAGGTGGAGGAGGAGGAGGAGGTGGAGGTGCTGCACCTCCAGGTAGCGGTGGAGGAGGTGGTGCTCCAGGCGCAGCTGGGCCTGCAGCAATCTGCAAAGACAAAACAGGGAAATCTGTATCAGAATCCATCCTGAGTGAGGTTCTTTTTACCTGATTTAAACCTTAATCTGATTTGATGAGGAAAAGTCATAATAGCACTGGAGAAGAAAACCAAAAGTTTTCTAACAGTTCATCTCCACATTTCTGTAAATCACAAAATCAGGCCAAGATTGGACTTTAGTGTCTTTCACTGGATGATTGTAAATGACAGAGAATCTTTCCTCCCTTTTCTTTGCAATTCTTGAACATTTTAATCTAGAAGTTTAGGAATTTGTCCCCCGAGTGACTTTTCTATGCATCTTTCGAGGTGAAAAACTCTGTTGAATGTCAATAAAAAGAGGCAGTGAGTAAAATAAAAAAACCTTTTCCAATTCTCTTTCAATGCAGCACAAAGATCCATTATGATCTTGTCTAGGGATACAGTTTATGAGGCGAGAACATTTGAGGATTCCTGCAGGATACTTAATCATATACATAAAGACTTAAGTGTCATATTGTGATGTCTCAAATTGGAGGTAAAAACATTGGATAAAGTAAGATGTTTTTCCAGGTAGTCAGAAGTGTAAGTGTTTGTTCATAGTGGATTTTCAACACGTTGTGAATATATGTTGACATGAGTTCATACAATTCAAATATTGATTATACACCTGTTATTTGTTGCATTTACCATTACTTACAAAAAGAAACAGTTTCTCAGTATTGTAACATTCACTTGCCAATAGACTCTAATCTCAACTGTATTTAAAAAATGTAATTTCTTCAAGGACATACTGATTTTCTGAATCAAATTTAGTTGAGTCAAAACGCTGAACCAACGATCTCTGCATTATGTTATATGTTGACCACTATGCTAGCACATTTACAAACGTTTATTTGGTGGTTTAAACTTCATTCTGGAAAATTGTTACCTTAAAGCATTTCATTACTGCCCTTGGGAATTCTTTAAACATTAGGCAAAATATGAAAAACACACAGAAAAATGTAAACCACTTTAATTTACAATACATAAGAATGTTGCTTTCCCATCAAGAGCTCATTATGAATGCTTACAATAGTGCGCTATTAAATGGTAGACAGGGACGTAATTATAACTCAAGACATGTCGGGACTATCAAACATTTCAAATTACCAAGAAGTCGGTGAAAGTCCACTGCATGGCCGAAAGAAAATAAATGTTTATAGAAATAAAATTTATGCCAATTCCAAAATTAGACACTGTTGCTCCAGTTAGGCGCTGATTAGATGTCTCCTCTAACCGAAAAGCATTTCCACTTCTCATTTCCAAAAGCAATTCCACTACAATGTACATTTCCCCCACTCACTTGATTGTGTGCGTAAAAATGTAATTGGTTTCATATTTAAAGACGCTACATGGCTTTTCATTACATAATGGCACTGACTGATTTCTTATTAGAGGCAAAAATTTAAAAAATCCGTTCTTCAAGGAGCTCCTCGCTCAGATTGCTCAGAGCCCTTTGTCTAAAAAAAAAAAAAAAACATGCAGTGATTACAAGTCTGTCAATCTTTTAAGGCTAATAGGAGAGAATGGATTCAAATTAGCTGCTGAATTAGAGCAGATTTGTTTTCATAGTGAGCGGCCTCTATCTCTATCTATTTGATTTGAGCTCCAATACAAGATTAAGAAAAAAAAAAACTACTGAATAATTGACTATTTTTCTCAGCTTTAGTTTCTAAATTTTCAATAGAATGACTCTGCATTGGACAATTTATAGGGAAAAAGTTATTTTTTTTCCTCTTTTAACTTTCCTAACAGTTTTTATATCTGTTCAATACACCCACTCTTAAAAACATGTTAAAATAAATGTTTATTTCCAGGTTTAGTGGACACAGGATGTGATCAAATGTTTGCCTCAGACTCATATCTTACTTCAATATCAAGAGTTTAAGTATGAAGATAAAGGACAAACAGTCAACTCTGATTGCAAACAGTGTTTAACTTATCTTTAGATTGATCAAATGTCTTGAAAATCCAGAGAGATCTAAAATGTGCAAATGTGTTTACTGAAATCACTAATCTACAACTCAGTTGTAGATTAGGAGTCATTTCAATTTGCAACGTATAAAGAAATAAATGTAAAAATTCCAATAAGAAATTGATTGAAGACACTTACTTACCTTCACCATTATTTAAATGAAACTGGTGTTTTATTACAAAGTACCTTGGGGCTCGCTGACATCTGGCACAAACATGCATCTTAAGTGATTTGAATATGTTTAGACAAATATGTTGTATGTCTTTTGGTGGCCTTGGTGTATAGCTGCTCTCATAGCGATGATATAACCGATCTACAGCTATGTTTCCAGTGCCGACTCACTTTTACACAATTTTTTCTTCACAGTAAAGGTGTGTACTGATTGAGTTTTATTGCTGTGGAGCCCTCAGGGATTAAAATCTTTACTGTTGGAGAACTGATGCTACATGAAGTCAAAATTTACTGTATTTGTTCTTATTTACTTAACCCATATCATATTTGTTAAGCTACTAAATAAAAATAGAGTTGGTAGCCAAAACGACGCAACAAAAATGCAACTGTGTCACATCTTAGAAATGTCAATGTCTGAATAACATCTGCTTTTTTCTGTTAGCTGACAGTTCACTGACTTTTGTGACTTGCCTGTAAAGCAGATTACTGAGAATTATCGCTCAGCACAGATTTTGATCCCAGCTGTGAATGGTCGGGGCTTGCAAGGTCTGCTTTTATCCAAATTAGGCAGGATGCATGTTAATACCAGGTCTGAACGGGGCCCCAGGGCGCAAAGCAAGCATGCAAAAAGGACTAAAGATCAATCTCATAATCAATTTGACAATTTAAAGCACCACAATCCTTCATTCCTTTACTGGATACTTGGGTTGGAAGGTGATTAAATGTAGGATTTTTGTGTCAAGGGCCAAACATGCAACAAAAACACCCACCTTGGCTTCAGATTCCCTGATGAGTCTCTGAGCCTCTTTGAGCCTGTCATTTTCTACAGTTAACTGTGCAGAAAACACACACATACACCAGAGATGCGCACCACAAGATCAGACATGAAACAGCACACAGCAGACAGGGCAACAGAATAGCACAAATGGAGGGTGGGTTAGATAGACAATAAAATGAACACTAGTGAACCTCAACAGGTAAAAAATTCACACCAAACACAATAAAGACAAGTTTGGAGGACATAGAGAGGAGAGAGAGGGAGTTGCTTACACGGTTAATGACGATGTTAGTAACAGGCTCTCTACGCATTACATTGGAATGATGCATTATTGTGCAAAAGGCAGAATGTGTTGTACTTTTACACCTAAAACAAGATGTAATCCATCTTCAAAGGAACATCAGTGGAGAGCAACGACTGTATAAAAGGAACGCGGCACAGCAACACTGACAGTTGGTGCTCTTTCAAAAACCTTCTTCCATTTCCATTTTTTTTCCAGCTCCTGGCATCATGAAAATACATTTCAACTCCACACCCTCAGATGTGTGATGGGCATTGATTTCACTGTGCCGTCTTTGTTTTAGAAATGTACCCATTGTGCTTTGATAATTCACTCTCTGCAACCTTGCCAAAAGTAAGAGAACAGGAACATTTTCTGCAGAGACTAAAATATTTTCCATGCAGCCAATCTTGCAAAAGCTCACACTATGGACTGTAGAAACATAAATATTTGATGTGCACACTGGAACAAAAAGAGATGGAAACTTTCAGTTGTGTGGCTTAAAAGGATCTTTTTATTTTATAAAAATCTTTAAAAATTAAAGTGCAATATTGAAAGCTAAAAATATTTATTTTATAATTCAAGAGGTTCAATAAAATAAGACTGAGGTAGAAACAGAACAAGTTGATATTTAGCAAGGACATACTGATTTTCTGAATCAAATTTAGTTGAGTCAATATCAATAAAACAGAATATACCTGCAAAGTTAACTTATGTCTTTTAATTCAAAAAGTGAAACTAATTTAGGTTCTTCTAAAAATGAAATCCTGCATAACTAGTAAAATGAAAGGTTCTGAGACTTTCTGTTCTTCCTTTAAATTCTGAGAGACTGATTTCCAAAGAAAATCTTTGGAACTTCCGACTCTGATCACGAGGAACAACGTTTCTGATACGTTCAGGAAAAAAAACCCTACTTGCTTAGACAAGGAATCTAAAAGACGTAGCAAACGGTTAAATTACTGAGAAGTAATTTGAATTTTAGGCCCAGCAAATCCATCAGGTGTTTGCTGATTGCTGCTACTGCTGCTAGTCAGGAGGATTGCTGTTTGTCTCAGGGCTGTAATTTTCCCTATTGCTTGTGCACCGTCTTTAACTGTATTTTTTCCTTCCACTGAACTTTTTTAGCGAGAAACTTTTGTGGCGGCTGCCTGCTGCGTACCTGTTGACTCAGCAGTCTTCCCTGTGGTTGTGCAGGTCAGCAGATTAATCTAAAATAAAACAAATTAAAGCTGCAAGCAGCCTCGAACGGCCCTCGCAGCCAAGCGCCGCTCCGGCCTATTGCCACCGCGGGGTACTAGCAACCGTCGCCTCACGTCAGCCACCACAGAAGCTCTCACGCAGTTTTCAGCTCCTCCGCCCGCACCGCGGAAGCTGTTGCTCAGTATCCATCAACGCTGGCCACGTGCTAACACAGAAGTTGTTGCGCAGTTTCCGCGCCCGTCCACCAGGCGGTACGCACTGATGCGTTTGGAGGCGCTCCTTGACGATGCAAAAAATGTGGTGCAGATTCATTGGTTTAGCGAGGAAATATAGCTGGCGGATTAATGTAGGACGCGCAGTGGAGCCAAAATATATTTCAATGCTGTTGTTCTCTTTAGAGGTCAACAAAGGTCATACGTATCCAATTTGGCGTCAGTCGGAAGATCCACTTGTAATTTACAGCCGATCATATGCACATGGCGAAGTACTACAGTTCGTCATTTTTCATCATTTTCAGCTTTGTTTCTAAAGCACTATTTCATTGTTGGAGTAATTCTTACTCAGAGTGGCGAATTACTGAAATGGTTTGTAAGAAGTAAGAAAACGCTACATTTACTGCATGATTTAATTCAACAAAAATTATATGAGACATTTCTATCCTTTTAGAAATTTCATGGCAACGCTCTCACAAAGTTTTCGCGCCCATCCGCCCATGGATCTGTCATTGGTGGAGGAACACTGACACCTACTGGCGAAATACTGATATTGTTCTTCATCCTGTTTATCTGCTGTTTCATTTGTGGAGCAATACTGACCCCAAGTGGCGAATTACTGAAATGGTTTATAAACACCAAAAATAGGATCAAAATCTGAACTTCAATCTAAAATGGCCGACTTCCTCTGGGGTTTAGACCATGGCTCCAAGAGACTTTTTTGTAAGTCCTGACATGGTACACACGTGTACAAAGTTTCGTAATTGTAGGCTAAAGCATGGCTTGGGGCTGATCATTTAAAATTTTCTAGGGGGCGCTATAGAGAAATTAGGCCACACCCTACAAATATTGTGATGGATTCCTGTCGGGGAGTGGATGAAGATCCATCCTTGTGAGTTTGGAGCAGCTGCGCCCAAAAATGTGGAATTGAGAGCCAATCGTATGGCGATGGCGTTACAGGTCACTTTACCACGCCGCCACGCCCAGCTGCTCCATCGAAGCTGGTCGGGGTTGGAATCCTCAACACACCAACATGTCTTCTGTGTCTGGGCACAGTTTCATGTTGATGAGGTCAAAGGGGTCAGATAGCGACCGTTAAGAGTAAAACATCACACTTCCTTTTCTCAGGGGGCGTGGCCTAAGTGATGTCATCATTCGACCATAGGGTATTGTAGGACACCCGATGATGATCAATCACAGTAACTTTGGTGCCTCTGTGAGTTTCTGTGTAGGAAATATAGCAGTTTATGTTTTTATGGCGTGTAGGTGAACTTTGACCCCTGCTAACCCCCTTTCAGCATTCTCAAAAACTCACCGTTTTGATAACTTCAGATGGGACATGCCTTATGAGCAGACTGACCGAGTTTGAAGACGATCAATCAAAATTCCTAGGAGGAGTTCGATCAAATACGGAGGCTGTAAACGGCAAAAATGGGGTCAAAATCTGAACTTCAATCTAAAATGGCCGACTTCCTGTGGGTTTAGACCATGGCTCCAAGAGACTTTTTTGTAAGTCCTGACAAGGTACACATGTGTACAACGTTTCGTAATTGTAGGTTAAAGCATGGCTTGGGGCTGATCATTTAAAGTTTTCTAGGGGGCGCTATAGAGAAATTAGGCCACGCCCCACAAATATTGTGATGGATTCCTGTGGGGGAGTGGATGAGGATCCATCTTTGTGAAATTGGAGCAGCTGGGCCCAAAAATGTGGAATTGAGAGCCAAACGTATGGCGATGGCGTTAGAGGTCACTTCGCCACGCCGCCACGCCCACCTGCTCCATCGTAGCTGGTCGGGATTAGAATCCTCAATACACCAACATGTCTTCTGTGTCTGGGCACAGTTTCATGTTGATGAGGTCAAAGGGTCAGATAGTGAAAGTTCACAGTAAAACATTACACTTCCTGTTCTCAGGGGAAGTGGCCAAAGTGATGTCATCATTCGACCATAGGGTATTGTAGGACACCCGATGATGATCAATCATAGAAACTTTGGTGCCTCTGTGAGTTTCTGTGTAGGAGATATAGCAGTTTATTTTTTTACGGCGAGTAGGTGAACTTTGACCCCTGCTAACCCCCCTTCAGCATACTCAAAAACTCACAATTTTGATAACTTTAGATGGGACATGCCTTATGAACAGACTGACCGAGTTTCAAGCCGATCAATCGAAATCCCTAGGAGGAGTTCGATCAAATACGGAGGGTGTAAACGGCAAAAATGGCCTCAAAATTGGACCTTCAATCCAAAATGGCCGACTTCCTGTGATACTTGCACTATGACATTAATTGTAAATTTTGAGCATCTTGGGGAGCTCTACAAGTGTACCAAATTTCATGTCTCTAGGATAAAGTAAGTGAATAGCAAAGGTCCTTTGAAAATTTCTAGGTGGCGCTATTGAGCCATTTCTTATGGGATTTTTGCAATGACCTTAAAATACAAAATTTTGAAACTCCCTTTACGCGTCCGCCAAGTTTGGTGAGTTTTTGAATATGATAAAGCCCTCAAAAAGCCAATTCATTTGGGTGGAATAATAATAATAATAATAATAATAATAATTAAAGCTGCAAGCAGCCTCGAGCGGCCCTCGCAGCCAAGCGCCGCTCCGGCCTATTGCCACCGCAGGGTACTAGCAACCGCCGCCCGACGCCAGCCACCACAGATACTCTCAGCAGTTTTGAGCACCTCCGCCCGCACCGCGGAAACTGTTGCTCCGTTTCCATCAACGCTCCCCACGTTCTAACACAGAAGTCGTTGCGCGGTTTCCGCGCCCGTCCACCAGGCGGTACGCATCGATGCGTTCGGCGGCACTTCCTGACGACGCACAAAAAATGTGGTGCAGATTTGTTTATTTAGCGAGGAGATATAGCTGGTGTATTAAGGTAGTTGGCGCAGTGGAGTCAAAATACATTTCAATGTTGTTGGGGTGTTTAGAGGTCAACAAAGGTCATACATATCCAATTTGGCGCCAGTCGGATGATCAACGTATCATTTAGAGCCTATCATATGCACATGGTGAAGAACTGCAGTCCGCCATTTCTACACCCCAATGCGGTTTGGTCAGCAGCCAGCATTCACAGAGTTCATCATCTTGTCGTTTTAAGTCAGTATTCACATGATGAAACCCATATATATGATAGAATAACAGTAAAACTCACAGGAGAAAAAAATGGTGATTGCCTTTGAAAAGTGGGCGGGGCTAGGGTGATTTCATCAAGTGACCATGGAAATGTGTTCAGGATTGTTCTATAGAGAAACACAGGAAGTGTGATGATGCAGCTGTGATCTTGCATTTGGAAGTTTTTTAATGTTTATGTTTCATGGCAAATAGTGAAAGTTTTACACTAAGCCACACCCACATGCTTTG